TATCAAGAGATCCCTGAATTTTTCACTTCTTAATAAGTGATTGAACAGTACTGACTGGCATTTCCAAGGCTTTGGATATCTTTTCATATCCTTTTCCATCTTTATTAAATTCCACTACTCCTCTAGCACTCCCTCGTACTTGGAGACTTTAATATCCCAATCAACAACCTCCACTGCCCTGATGCCTCCTCCTTTGGCCTCACACAGTTGTCTACTTCAGCAACTCATACAGAAGGAAACACTCTTAAACCTCATCTTCACCAATCTCTGTATCACCTCTTATCTCTCCACTATTCCATTTCCTTTGTCCTTCCACCATCTGCTAACATTTGACATCAGCATACCCTGTAGCCATATTTCACCCTCCTCAACTCTCCAATCTTGCAGAAACCTCAGATGCCTTGGTCTCCAGCATTTCTTGACCAAACTCTCCTTTTACCCATATCAAATCTAACTTGCCCTAACTCTGCAACCTCACTGTACAAATCAACTCTCTTCTCTTAACTCAACATCATGGCACCTCTTACAATTAAACGCAGCAAGCACCCCCAATTACAACCCTGACACACCAAGCTGACCCGTTACCTCCAAAAATGTTCCAGAACTGCTAAACACTGCTGGAGAAAGTCTCATTTTGCATCTGACTTCCTCCACTATAAATGTATGTAGCGCTCCTACAGCTCTTTCCGCTGCAAAAGTAAATTACTTTAACACCCTCATAAGTACACTGTCCCATCAATCCAAACACCTATTTCACACTTTTGATGCTCTTCTTCACCATTTTACTCCCCCTTCTTCAACCACCTTGTCCGCTACAAACTTTGCATCTCACTTCCCTGAGAATATCTCTACAATCAGAGAAGAGATCTCTAATTTCTCTCCTTCCCCTTCCAATACATCACCCAACTCCACTACCTCCACCATTCTACACTCATTCGCACCTGCTACAGCAGAAGAGGTTTCTGCTCCGATCCTCCTGCCCCACCACCCGTTCCCTCGATCCTATTCCCTCGTATCTCATCCGTACTTTGTCTCCCTCTCTTGCTCTTCCTCTCACTAAAATTTTCAATCTCTCAATTTCCTCTGGCACACTTCCCTTCACTCCCACTCCGGCCCTGTCTCAATCGTTGGCTGATGTTGGTGGGGGAGGAGCGGAGGCACTATAGTTTCCCTTTAATGTACTGCTGTGAAGGTATTCAATAGACAAGAATTGGCACTAGATGATGCAGATTTTGCATAAATCCGAATTCTCACCAGTTCTAATAATAGGTATATTAGCCCTATATAATTCCCCAGCAGCAAAAGTATTAAATGTGAACTTCACCTGAGTCCATTTTGAAATCACCAGCAGAATGCAGCCATGGTATCCTATGTTACCTCTCTTGTTTGAGTTATTTGTAGAATCTCTTACATATAAAATTAGGACCAGTGAAGACATCAGGATGGACTATTTCACACTTTTAATGCTCTCCTTGGCTCTGTAGCTCCTCCTCCTCCTACCATCCTGTCCGCCTCAAACTTTGCAACTCACTGCACTGAGAAGATTTCTACAAGCAGGGAAGAGATCTCTAACCTCTATCCCTCCCCTTCGAATACATCACCCAACTCCACTCCCTCCACCATTCTACACTCATTCACACCTGCTACAGCAGAAGAGGTTTCTGCTCTGCTCCGGTCCTCCCACCCCACCACCTGTTCCGTAGATCCTATTCCCTAATATCTCATCCGCACTCTGTCTCCCTCTCTTGCTCTACCATTCACTAAGATTTTTAATCTCTCCCTTTCCTCCAGCACATTTCCTTCACCCTTCAAGCATGCAACCATCACATTTATTCTGAAAAAGCCCAACCTTGACCCCAACTCCCCATCCAACTGCCACCTTATATCGCTACTCCCATTTGCCTCCAAAATCCTTGAGAGAGTTGTGTATGCGATATTGACAGACTTCCTCGAATCCAACTCTCTGCTTGACTAGCTTCAGTCTGGATTCTGCGCTTGTCACTCTGTTGAAACAGCTGTGACAAAGTATCTAATGATTGAATAGCTGCTAAATCTCAGAGCCATTACTCTATCCTAATTCTCCTTGGTCTTTCTGCTGCATTTGACCCTGTTGATCATCAACAGCTTCTTCTCATTCTCCGTAATCTCAGTCTATGGAATACTGCTCTCTCCTGGTGCTCCTCCTACCTCTCCCAGCGCTTTTTCAGTATTTCTTTCTCTGGCTCTGCCTCTTCTCCCCAACCCCTCTCTGTTGGCATTCCCCAAGGTTCTGTCCTTGGTCCCCTTGGTCTTCTCTGACTGCCTCTCTGCGATTTCCAACTGAATAACTGCTCACTTAATTAAACTCAACCTGTCCAAACCAGAACTTTTGGTCTTTCCTCCCTCAAGTGCTGCTACTCCCGTGTCTGTCTCCCTTCAAGTCAACGGGGCTACCATCACCTCTACCTTGCAGGCTCGCTGCCTGGGTGTTCTCTTTGACTACAACCCCTCTCCTTCATCACTCATGTCCAATCAATCGCCAAATCCTGTCGCTTCCATCTCAAAAACATAGCGCGTGTCCTCCCCTATTTAACACCGGATGCAGCTAAGGTGCTGGTCCATGCAGTTGTTCTCTTGCCTTGACTACTGAAATCCTCTTCTCAGTGGTCTTATGTGTTCCCAGATTGCACCACTGCAATCTATAATGAATGTGGCGGTGAGGCTCATTTTCTTGTCTGTTCGCACCTCCCACGCCTCCCCGCTCTGTCAGTCCCTGCATTGGCTTCCAGTTAGATATAGGGTGTGACGGACAGCCTGACATCCAGTCCGGGTGCCCCCATCAGTCGATGCTCCTAGTGCTCACGGAAGACTTCAAGCACTCCACCAGACACCATAAGAACTGTAGTCCCCACATCCAACGTTACAGCTTGGCTGGGAACTCACTGTCCTCCACCCACCCTGGACCCAAGATCAGGATCCAGCTTCCAGAGAGTGTAGCAGGAACAGCTCTTAAAAGAGCTAGTGATTATAATCCCAGGGGAGTATAGTGATATAGCAATCCCCACGGTAGATACAGCCGTTTTCCCCACACATGAGATGAGACTCTATGTTGAGGGTAAGCAGGAACTCAATTTTAATTGAGGCACAGTGGCCGTTTCCCAACAAGGGTGACTCCCACGTGGACCTTGTTGGGCACAGGGACACAAAGTTAACAAACCAATAAAAACAGAGTTATACAGTGAGACACTCCCATACAATATACACAATCCCTACCCTCTGCCTGGGAGATAATTACGGCAGATATTGCATTAACTTAATTATCTCCAGGCAGAAAAAAACATTTTTTTTTTATAAAGTCCCATAAGTACCCCAAAACACAACATATCCCCATGTTATATCCCCTGATAGCCCTGATTTGGGTGAACAACATATCAAGAAATCACCCAGATCAGATCAGGGGTTCAGAAATGTTATGGAAGTCATAGTTTTGCCCAGGCGCAGGCATGGTCCCATGCCAAAACAGTTCCATAGAATCGCGGCTAAGTGCCGCTGGAGGACCGACCGGGAACCGCAAGGTTTTCATGATGAAAATAGTTTCAGGGCATTCATGGCTAAATCCCCCTGAAGTCTATGCATGGTTCTGGTCCATGTGAACAAGATGGCCGCCACCATGTGTTCGAATGTCGAATGGAGGCAACTTCGACTGTTCGGGAGTTTGAAGTGCCACTTCAAAAGTTCGAACTGTGGTCATAAAAATCCAAAAAGGCATGAACAGTGATATAAACCAAGTTTTATCACAGGGGCCATAGTAACAGGGTAGGAGGCCGGCAAACAGGCCCCTCCAAAAACCAGTGGTGAGGTCACTTTTGCCACATAGGGCTAAATTTTAAATTCTGGTGCTTTCTTACAAGTCCCTACATAATACTGCTCCAACCTATCTATCCGCCCTAATACACAAGTATGTCCCATCTGCCAAGACCTACGTCTATCCGCTGTCTGTACTCCCACCTCTGATGCTCACCTCCAAGATTTCACCAGGGCTGAATCTCTTCTGTGGAACTCCCTTCCCTTCTCCGTAAGACTTTCATCCAGTCTCCACTCATTCAAAAAAATCATTGAAAACACACATCTTCAAGAAAGCATATCAATTAAACTGTCAGCAGGTTTCTATCCCATCTCATTATGAATGTGTCTCTAGGTTTTTCATTTGTATTTTTCATTTATATTTTTCATTTGTACTTTTATCTGGGATATATGGCTCACAGCACACAATAATAAGAGTACTAATATATTATGTATGTAAATTGTCTTGCACGTATATATATCATTCAAGTTTCACTTTTAGTTACATCAAGTGTGATATGATAAGATTCACATTTTGTTTCTTGTTTAATATTTATCTAATGTATCTTATACACTAGGATACATGGATTGTATCTAGTTGTATTCATATTCACATGAAACACAATTTAGTGGTCACCTGATGGTGCTTAAGTGAGGTTTTGTGGTCCACATGTGGCTCATCAATCTACAGTTTGCATTGTTTAGTCTGGATCTTTGATCATAGGTATTACCTTTGTCTAGAGGGAGGGTACTTCAACTTTACAAGTTTCCTGCCCTTTTGTGCTATTTAAAGATGGTGTTTGGCACTATTGGGTTATCCTGATGAAAGTACTATGATGGACTGAAACGTCGATTTGCTGTAACCCGTGTGTTATGAATAAACACGAATAATTTTCTTCAAAAAGCCCAGCGTGTGCCTTTCTTCATGTTGATTTGGCTGAAGGAGCACCGTGGCACTTATACCACAAATGTGAGTGCAGGATCGTGGAATATGTGTGTGTGTATATATATATATATATATATATATATATATATATATATATATATATATATTTGTGCTCGGAATCTCTATTATTTTTTTTTTTATTTTTTTTTTTTTATTTTTTTTTTTTTATTCTTTATTTTTCCATCTTGGCGGACAAAATGATACAACATTAAATTACAGGCTTTCGCAGAAGCCATAGAGTAAGTCATGTACATGTACTTCATTTCAAATAAGACATCCTGTAACTAAGCGTGCTATACATTATTGCTATCATCGTCTCTGTCCGTCAAGGAATTTTTGTATTTTTTAATAAACAAAAGTAACCTCAAGAAAGCAAGCAGGTTTAACCTTCCATTTCACACTTTGTTAGCAATTGCTACATTGAACTTAGTAGCTGCATCTATAATGACCAAGTATCAACGATTGGGCTTACGCAGAAGCCAAAGTATGGGTAACATCTTAACAGTCACATGAACTGCAATCTTTACAGTATGTGTTCGTATTTAAAGGATCCATGGGGGGTTATCCTCTTTAAAGGATTTTTAATAGTGTAATTCCCCAGTATAATTTATCGGTTTGTCTAGGATGCTTAGGTGTGGGAGGGAAAACGTCCCTGGCCCAGCGGTAATTTGAGGTCTACCGATGAGCTATATAATGTTTTATATATCGTGTAAGTCCTGTGTCGTTATCAATATAGCTATATTGTTATTATCTAATCCGTAGTTTGATGTTTGTAGGTCCTTTGATATACGTAGAGGGTTAATGGTCTGAGGTTTATCTGGGGTACCTAGGGTTCCCTTTATGTTCGTTACGTTGACCTTGTCTGAGGAGGTTGGTATGCAAAGTAAGTAGCGGATATGAAATGGATTTTCCCCGTATAGGCGCGGGGAGAGAAAAGATAAGAATTAAAAAAAAAAGAAAAGAAAGAAGGGGAGACTGAGAAAGTAGTATAAAGTAAGGGAGGATTGTGTGGTAGCTGCAGTGACCTGGAGGTGGCTAGGGAGGTACGTGAAGAAGGCGGCAGGGGGGGGGGGGAGCAGGTTCATCCCGATCTCCCTAGGCCAGGTGTGTCGGTTGGATCTCTGTGTAGGAGGATTCTGCCCCTGGTTTAGCTCTACTGCAAGGACCCCTTTACATCTTTCGTTTATTCCTATCTATCCTCTCTAGAGCCTATTACGCTGTTATCCCATGGTTCCCAGAGTTTTAGAAATGTTTCTATCGATCCCTTTACTCTCGCTGTTAGGTCGTCCATGATCCTACATTCGCGGATCCTGGATATCACTATCGGAAACTCGGGTGAGTCTGGTGAAAGCCATTTCGTCGCTATTGTTTTCCTTGCGCTCAGGGTTATTTTATGAACTAGTTTCTGTTCTCTCTTGGTCCATCCGTCCACCGATCTGTTTAGGAGGTATACCCATGGATCTCTGGGCAGGGGTTTATTAAATGTTTGTTTCAGTAGGTTTTCTGTCTCTTTCCAGAATCCAAAAAGTTTGGGGCATTCCCACCACATGTGAAGGTATGTACCTCGGGCTCCACATCCCCTCCAGCAATCATCGGTGTCCGTTTTATGCATTTTATAAAGTTTTACTGGGGTTGTGTACCACCTAAACATGGTCTTCCATGTCTGTTCTTGTAGCGTAACACATATGGAGGCGTTTTTATTTGCTTCCCAAATTTCTTGCCATTCTATGCCTTCTAGTTCTTCTCCTAGTTCTATCTCCCATTGGTCGGTGTAAGATAGTCTCCCCCATTCTTTGGTTTCTGTGCTAAGATGAGCGTACATTAGGGTTATCATGCCCTTGGGGGTCCTTTCGTGAAGGCATAGTTTCTCGTAGAACGTCATATTTCCCTGAGCTGCAGCCTTTATGTGTGGTTTCCTAGCGAAGTCTCGAATTTGTATATATCTAAAGAAATCTGCGGGAGTTAGGTGGTTATCTTGTTGGAGGTCCGTAAATTGGATTAAGTTCCCATTATGATATAATTGATGGATCCGTTGTAGACCCGTTCTCTCCAAGTTTCGGAAATCTTTAGGGGCCATACCGGGTTGGAACTCTCTATTTCTTAGAATTGGAGTCAATGGAGAGGGGGAGGTCGCCAGTCCGTACTTGGTTCTGTTTTTGTCCCAGATTTGGAGCGAATTAAGTATGGACGGGCAAGTCACCCATATCAAGGGTCGATAGTCTTTCGGGATCCACATAGTGAACTGGGGGATGTCCCATCCCACCATCATGGATTCTATTTCGACCCATCTCCGCTCTTCCGGAGGGGAATGCCACATAGCTATCTGTGTTAGTTGGGCTGCAAGATAATAGAAGTATAGATTTGGGAGGCCCAGTCCCCCTCTTTCTTTTCGTCTGTAGAGTATCTGTCTTGATATCCTGTGCCTCTTGTTCTGCCATATGAAGTCAGCTATCGACCGTTGAAGTGGGTTCAGTTGTGCTTTGGTGACATGAATTGGGAGAGCTTGGAATAAGAATAAAATCCTCGGGAGGACGTTCATTTTAACAGAGTTAATTCGTCCTATCCAGGAGATAGGTTTATCAGACCACCTTTCTAAGTCTCCTATCAACTTCCTAATTAGGGGGCCATAGTTCTCGGAGTAGAGGTGTGTCGGGTCCGTAGTTAGGTGTATACCCAGGTATTTCATAGACTCTCTTTCCATCCTGATACGGTAGGTCAATTGTATGTGATTTATGTCTGTCTCAGTCATGCCAATCGGCATAGCGCTAGATTTTTGCATGTTGGCCTTATAGCCAGACCATTCCCCGTAGTCCTTGATAACGTCTTGGAGGGCCGACACAGACGTCGATGGGTTCGTGATGGTCAAAAGAACGTCGTCTGCGTATGCTGAGACTGTAAACTTTTTGTCCCCTACACGAACTCCTTCAATTTCTGGATGTTGTCTAATCGCTTGCATCAAAGGCTCTAGCGCTAGTACAAACAGGAGTGGGGAGAGTGGGCATCCCTGCCTAGTGCCATTGTAGAGTCGAAAAGGCGTCATCGGGGCACCAGTGATCTGTATCTGTGCTCTCACCTCATGGTACATTGCTTTTGTAGTAGTTATAAATTCTTTCGGGAACCCTAGGTGATTTAGTACCGCAAAGAGGAATTGCCATCTCACCCTATCAAAGGCCTTTTCTGCATCTATAGAAACCACTAGGGTAGGGATTTTAGATGTCACTTGTTTCCAGATTAGGTCAATATTCCTTCTGGTATTCTCAAACAGCTGTCTGCCCTGAATAAAGCCTACTTGGTCGGCATGGACGAGTGAGTTTAGTAGCGGATTTAATCTGTCAGCTTGTATTTTTGCTATTATTTTTAGATCTTGATTAATCAATGATATGGGTCTGTAGTTTCCTGGTTGGAGTGTGTCTTTGTCAGGTTTAGGTATCAATACTATGGTAGCTAGGGTCATGTCTGGAGGGAGGAGTCCCCCCTGTTTCATGTAGTCAAAGAGTTTCATTAGTTGGGGTGTAAGTTCTTCTTTGAAGGTTTTGTAGTATGTACCTTCGAACCCATCCGGGCCTGGAGCTTTGTTACCTTTCAAGGTAGATATGGCTCTATGTACTTCTTCCTCTGTAATTTCGGCTGACAAATTGGCCACCGCGTCTCTCCCTAGTTTGGGCAGGCCGAGGTTATTTAAGTAGCTGTTAATATGGTCTTCTTCACTTCCGTCAGGAGTGTGTGCGTCAGGTGTGTGGTTGTACAGTTTTTTGTAAAAGTCTTCAAAGACTTTGGCTATCTCGTCTGGTCTTGATTTCGTCGTTCCATCCGGATGTTTGATGGCCGTGATGTGGGATCGTTCTTGTCTAGGTCGCAGTGTTCGGGCCAGAAGTGAGTCCGTCTTATTGGATTTCTCGTAATAAGTCTGTTTCGTCCATATCATGGATTGAGCGGTATCGTCTAGTAGGAGTGTGCGGATGTCTCTTCGAACCGCTACCAGTTTCTTATAGATCTCATTGTCGGGTGTTGCTTGATGTTTCTGTTCAAGATTCCTTAATTGCTCCAACAGGGTCTCCAGTTGTTTATGTTTCATCTTCTTCTTCCTAGTGGCTAGTTTTATAAGGGTCCCTCTTATAACAGCTTTATGGGCCGCCCATATTGACCCTGCGCTAACATCCGGGGTATTATTTGTGGTGAAATATTCCACTATTTCAGTCCGTATCTGTTCTTTGAGTTCCGGGTCTCTTAGTAGCGATGTGTTTAGTCTCCACGTCCACGGCGAGGCCAAACATAAGTTGCCCAACGTAATGGACACGTCCGCATGGTCAGACCATGATATATTGCCAATCGCAGAACCTGTAATCCTGGGCATGCCTGTCGCGTTAGTTAGGAATAAGTCTATCCTGGAGTATGTGCCATGAGGTGTTGAGTAGAAGGAGTAGTCCCTGTCTCCTGGGTGGTGCGCTCGCCATACATCTGTTAAGCCCATGTCTAGTATAAATTTTTTGAGCAGTCGGTCTTGTCCCCCCCTGCCATGGGATCTTGGTGTTCCGTCTTTAGAGCTCCTGTCCGCTGCCGGGCATGGGGTGGCGTTGAAGTCTCCTCCCATATAGACCATGCCATGTGGAAGTAAGGAGATTTTCTCTCGTAGGGTGGTCCAGAACGAGGGGTCTGGTTGGTTAGGGGCATACACGTTGACCAGGTGTATGGTATGTGAGTACAAGATGCCCGATACTATAATGTATCGGCCGTCTGGGTCTGTTTCATGGGTCGTCTTGCGAAACGGGCAGCTGTTTCTGATCAGAATAGCTACTCCGTTGCGTTTGCATTGTGATCTTGCTTCACATGATCCTCGAAAGATGTGGTCTTTTAGGTTTACATTGGCTTGTTTCGAGAGGTGGGTTTCCTGGATGTAGGCAATGTCCGTCTTCAGTCTCTTTAGTTCCTTAAACATAAGGCGGCGTTTTTTAGGAGCATTAATTCCTTTAACGTTCAATGACGTGATTTTAATCATCGCGACGTGTTTGGTCAGGTCTTTTATAGCCGTTCGGGAACCTAGGTCCTTCCACATCTGGCTCAGTGTCATGTCCTGCGCCTCCCCGGGTACCCCCCCGCCTCCGTCGCTCCTCCAGGTCGCACCACACATAAATAGGAGAGGAAAGAGGGGATAGTAAAGAAGAAGAAGAAGAAAGACATCCGAATCGAGTCAGATGTATAGATGTAGAAACTCTGGTCTTACTCTTTGCCAGGGTTTTTCTGGGAGCGTGTTCCTTCATCCCGTCCACGATCAACGTAAAAAGGGATTAGGGATATGTGGGTTCCGTCACGCGTGCGCCTACACAATTTAATTTGACCTCTTATTTCTCTTATCCGAGGTAGTATATGACTAGGGATGTGTCCTATCGGGGCCCCTCTATCAGTCTTTCCTGGTTATTAATGTGTGGGTGTTTGGGGGGCGCGATCAGCAGGGTTCTTTCCGTCTCTGATCCCCCTCTCCCCGCCCCGTATCCCCCCCCTCTCAAGGCGGGACTCTCCAGTTCCTACGCTATCTCTCAGGCGTTCAGTCCATGAGGTCGCGTTGTAATTGTCCGGTGTTTCTTCCCAAGGTGTTTATCCGACCACCCCCCTTTTTTCTTTTCCAAGTGGTTAGGTGTGAAGATATATACATACAGGAAGTGCTACCCTGACCGTTACAATCCTATGCGTCTATTGTGTGATGTTGGTGTTCGTGGGATCACGGGTTGGTAGTGTCAGTATGGTCATGCATGTGAGGGTATAACCGATTTGTCCTGATTCCTATCGGGGGTACTTCCCATGTAGGGAGGGTCGCCTGGTAGGTGGTTAGGAGGACAGGCTCAGAGGGGATCGAAGACAGATTCAGCGTCTTAGTGGTTCTAGAAAATAATTAATTATATATTTTTATTTTTTTTTTTTCTTCCCCTCCTCTTTTCCTTTTTCTTTTGGGTGTATGTGTGAAATTTTGTAAGAGTATGGTCCCCCCTCTTTCTCTGCTATATATATGTAGTATCAGGGGTGATAGATGTTGGGATCCTGCCACTGTATAGAGGGAGCATGGTGTCGCGGGAGAAGGATCTTCGAGGAAAACCACGGGGGGGGGGGGAGGTCGATGAGATCATTACAGCGGTAGGGTTTTAGATAGGATTAAAGAATGGTACCCGACATGGGTAAGAGTCTGGGGTGGTTATAACTTGGGTAAAGTATAGGTAACCAAAACGATTTTCACCTCTATCTATCTAATGTACCCCATCATAACATTACATATGTATAAAACATCAACAACACTCCTTTCCCCCCTCCCTCCCCTTTTTTTTTTTTCCTTCTTTTTCCCTTTCCCCCCCGGACAGTAGGTAGAGGATCGTGAATAGTAACAGGGTTCAGAATATCAAGGGACATGCAATATTACTGTGGTTTAGAGAAATAATGATGAGATGATGTAGTCTGATGCAGGCCTACACGCCAAAAAATTAGGCGGATCCGGTTCCCACCAGGCCTGGGTGTCAATGAAACCTCCACCTTGGTAAAAGTCCCGAGGGCCCTCACAGCCTGTGGGATCAGCTGTCAGGTTGAGTCCTGTAAAGGGCTGCTTGAAGCCTATTGCGGTACCCCCCACAGCCCTCCCAAAGCAAATCGCGAGGGGGCCAGACCCACTCCCGTATTAGCCTCCTCGACAATTTAAGGTAGGGCACTGGCATGTATCATAAAGTAACATAATATTGAACCTACAGTTAAAACAAGAATGGAGGATTGGCTGAAAAGGGGGGCTAGCCAGGGCAGGTTTCGATGTAACTCCCCTTAGAGTTCCAGTCAGAGTATGAAAAAGGGGGCTAGTGTCGGCTCTCATCACAGCGAGGGGAGAACTAATTTAAACTGAACAGTCTCCGTGGAATATGAGGTGGGGTATAAGGCGGTGGATGGTGTTGTGTGATGTGTGTATTATACGATACCCACAGTGCTTCAGCGATGGCCTCTAGCTCCGACTTCTTGCCACTCTGTCTGTAGTTGTTGAAGCTCGGTAGGGTGCAGAGAGATATCTGGAAGTCGGGGGGGTGGTTGTAGGCCGAGGTTCCTGAAGAAGCGTTGGGGATCCCCTCCCGGCATCAGGATATGTGAGCGGTCTCCCCGGAACACCATAAGCTTGAAGGGGAATCCCCAGGCATATTTCAGACCTGCGTCTCGTAGGGCTGCTGTGATAGGCCTCCACTCTCGTCGTCGTTGAAGTGTCGACGGTGCCAGATCCTGGTATAAGGATAATGTGGCCCCTGCGTACCGTAACGGTGCATCCCGGCTTTTCCCCATCAGCGCTTCCTTCGTGCTATAGTATAGGAAGCGGACGATTACGTCCCGCGGGGTGTTGGTGTCGATCTTCTGAGGTCTCAGGGCTCTATGTGCCCTTTCCATGTGCCACTGTTCCTCCGATAAGGCGGGCAGGAGAGGCTTCAGGGCAGAGAGTAGTATCCCCTTTAAATCCTCGTCTTTCTCCTCAGGGAGGCCCCGAATGCGGAGGTTATTTCTCCGTGACCGGTTGGCCATATCTTCCAATGTTAGGTCGGTTTCCACCAGATGTGAGGTCATACGGTTTACTCGATCTATAAGCGCGTTGTGGGCTAGCGTTGTGGTCTCCATGCGCTCTTCCAAGATGGCCGTGCGTTTTCCCAGGGCCCCTATCTCTGCTTGGAGAATTGCCGTTGAGTTGGCTATTTCTCCTGCCAAGAAGGCCCTGACTTCAGCGAGTTTGGCCAAAACGGTATCTTGGTCATGGAGTGGGGCTTCCCTGGCCGCCCTCGGTGATATTTGTGGGGAGCTCCCGTCGCCATCTTGACTTCCTGCACGGCCTTGTTTGTGCATGGGGAAGTGGTCTAGGACGGAGCTGGAGGTCCCAATGTCGGCCGTTTTTTTCCCTTGCTTCTTAGGGGGTCTCTTCTCCATGTCGGAGGTTCCCGTGAGGGGTAGTTTATCGATTTTTGAGGTCGCTTTTGAATGCTTTAGGCACAGTTGCTACGGAGCTCTACCGAAACACGTCCAGTCTCATTGACGGCTCGGCCACGCCCCAGCGGAATCTCTATTATGTTAATGGAATGTAGAGGAGGAGCAAAGTTGGTTGAGGTGTGCCGAAACCAATGTACGAGTAGGCCTGTAAAAAAAGAGGGCCCACAAAGAGAAATGTGTAAAGGAGGGTGAAGGTGGGTGGGGTCAAAACAGCTTGAACGGTAAAGATAAATAGGGGGGTAGAGATTATATAGGGTCATAACTCCTCCCACAAATTCAGGCCAATTGGCCTTCCAACTTGTGCTCGGAATCTCTATTATGTTAATGGAATGTAGAGGAGGAGCAAAGTTGGTTGAGGTGTGCCGAAACCAATGTACGAGTAGGCCTGTAAAAAAGAGGGCAAAAAGGAATTCAATGTAAACACACTTTATTGCAAGTTTAAACTGCGAGATTTCTGAAAGCCTGCCTGAGCTCCCTTTCTGGTCAAGGGATGTAGGAGTTGTATATTGAGGATTTCCAGCGTCCCAGCCTCTTAATGATGTGTACCGGGGTGTTAGTGCTAGAGGCTGATGATGCTGCGCCGATGTGAAATGAGTGACCAGAGAAGGAAGCTGGGTTGTAGCCTAACCTAGACAATAGAATTCTGATGTGTGACATAAATTTAGCTGTAGTGAGTGGGTGACCTTGGAGTAGAAGTGAGAAACCAGGAGCATATCCAGAACATGTACAAGGCACTACAAATTCTCGGTAGGGAAGAGGGGAATGATAGGGGGGTAGGCAGAGTGATTGGTCTTGGTAGAAGGCAAAGAGAGTACAAAATGTTCGTCTACTCTCTTTAAGTGAGAAAGTTGGAGGCATCGTACTGTGTCTCCTTGACGTACTACGGTGAACTCTCTAGGTCTGAGGAACCCATAGAAAGCCAAAAAAAGGCAGATTTCATGACTAAATTGGTATTATGGTCAAACGGGGATTTGTCCAATAAGTCGCTTAGGAGCCGGAATATTGGACCGTCTATTGGTAGCCTAGTCGTGTTAGGGGGGACTGTGACCTTAAAAATACCTTTGAGAATTTTCTTAATGGGGTAGGAAGACAGAAAAGAAGCGTGGTTAGGGAAGTTAGTTTGATGGTATTATGAGAAAGTTTAAGGTGTAAATGGCAAAAGGAGGCAAAAGCCACCATGGTTTTGATGGAAAGGTCACCTTGTAAGCAAAACTCGGCTGTGAATTTGTTAAATATAGTCAGTACTCTAGCGTAAGAGATAGTGGTGTTGGGAGACAGTGCGTGGTGCGTGAGTGTTTGTGCGGGGAGTAATAGTTCGTTTAAACCAGGGTTAGCCGTAGGAACTATGGCATCCTGGCTGATTGAAGGTGTGCCGGAGGGGGAGCCCGGCCGGAGACCTGCAATTTAAGAGCATAAAAAGAGTGTTAGCAGCTGAGTAGAGGAGGTTTAGAGAATGAGGTGTATGATATCTATCTTGTTTAAGCATGCTGGAATAGTAGAATGTAGGCAAATTACAACAAAAATTATACATTTGGAATGACTGAAACTATTCTATGATTTGGAGGAACAAGAAAAAGGATACCAAATGTCAAATCAAACTTTATTATTTGGAGTGCAAGTAAGCGGCCCCCCGAGATGAGTAAGGTTGCGAAAGGAAAGGGCCATTATCTGGACGTGGTGTCGTCGTATAATTTTTTAATGTGTGCTGAACCAGCTTATTTGTTAGGTGTCAGACGGGTCGGGCACATAGACTTGGTGTGGGCTATGGAGCATATGGAGCAGATGTGCAACAACCTGCATGCGCTGTAGCTGCATATGCCTGTGTTAAAGTTATTGCACACCTGCGCCTTGCCCAAGAAGGTGATGTGTCTGCCCAGCTTGTCTCTCTGGACACCTTCCTGTCTAGGGAGTGGGGTGAGGGAGTGGTGGGGTGAAAAAGTGGAAGTAAAAGGGTCTGCGTCCCCAGGGCATAGATCAGTGGAGTGTGAAGCAGAACCACAAGAGGCACAAGATGGGGGCCTCAGACCAGCAAAATGACAGCAGAATAACTCAGTATCTATCTGACACCAATCGATTCTAATATTGAATTGTGTCAGATGAGTAGCTGCCTTGGCCGAAACTGATTTGTGGTAATCGTAAAATGAGGACCCTCCATACTTGATGCCCAAATCAACCACCTTGCGCATTTATAAATCAAGCTCTTCTCTCCTATGGGGGTACACCATGCAGATAACATCGCGATAAGTGCCGAACGCGATAACAAAATGTGGGATGGTGAGTTTTTTTATTCAAACGTTTGTCTCTGTAAGACAACCGAAATGTCCCCGTAGTTATAAGCTCTATTTTCTAAAACGTCTTGGGAGGCTATGAGGAGGGACATTAAATTGACGTCTTTTCCATCAAGAATATCTTTCTTGATGGAAGCCAGAACACAGTGGGCTGGTGAGGTGTGGGTAGTGGCTGTTGGGGGAGGGGAAATGAGGGGTATGGCAGTCACTGCTGGGGCTGTTAAGTCACCTGGAGTGGCTATGACTGATTCCACCTTCAGCAACCTGCTGTTAATGGATTGCAGATTGGCCAGTATAGCCATCAGAGTTTCCTGGGTGGAATCAGAGAAGCCAACTGAAGGCCCTTGTGAACTCGTGCCGGGCCTTGGTTCGTTGGCCTGAGTCGTCAGCAGTTTATAAAGTTCTACTTTTCTGGTGGTGGCTTGAAAGGGGATTGCCCTGAGCCTAAGTTCAGCTGATATTTTTGGAATGGTCCAATATGTTAGGGATCTGGGAGTAGAAGGAGTGAGGGATTCCACCGGAGACCCAGGCCTGGCTGGCGTGCTGGGTATATCGTCTGATGGGGGATTGATGATTGGTTCTTGAGACATCCTGAAAGGAATAATGATATGGATAAGTAGTGTATAGTGGAGGTGGGATGAGACCTCGGGAGAACTGGCCTGCTAGCTAATGCCGAAGCGAAGAATTAAAATTAGAACCAAGTGACAGATGAGGCCCTGCTATTGCCAAGCAGCGGTGAGAGGCTCGACTCTATTTGGACCGAGGGGGTTTTGTGGCCACCAGAAGGGGGTGGCAGGATGTCGGCCTCTCTGTGACTGTAAGAGATTCAAAAACGTGTGGCTGTGACATGGGAAGCCCTAACTGTAGCCCTAAAGAAGAGCGAGCAAGGTGGCTAGCTATGATTTGGTCGTGGGGCTGAACCTCCGTGTATGAGGTAGGGGTGTAGACCTCACGGACCGCAGAATTATTGGGGGAAGCTAGGGCCAGCACCTGACCCTGAAAGCCAGTTCTCTACCCTGACAGGGGGCTTGTCTCTTGAAGGAAGTATGTAACGTATGTAGATACTGACCTGAGTGTTTGTTCTGTATATTTGGAAATTGCTCAAGGTGACTTCAATATATATGTCTATATATACTTTGTAGAACAGGTCCAGTCCGGAACCTAGGGGTAAGAAAGATGCTATTAGGCCAGAGGCGTGCCATTGGTAATCCAAGTGTAAAAATGTAGAATGTGTAGAATGGTGTGTAACAGAAAAATCGTATCATAAACGCTCATGTAATCAGAGGAACCTGAACGTAGGTCCAAATTTTTTGACAAGCCCCTGGGATCCCACAACTGAGCTATATTATTTGACAGATATGAAGGCAGAGTGAGGCCTTAGAAGGACGTAATAGTAGTGAGTAAGATTAGGGATACCTACTGGAACGTCGGGAACCAGGTAGACTGATGGTCGTTGAAGGCGTAGTGAATCTGCGCGATGGTGCAGGTCTAAATAATGATATGTAGAAATTAAAATGGAATTTTTATAACATTTAATAATAGTAACCTGGAGAGTGAGGCATCTTTTAACCTGGTGTGTTAAAAGTTTTCGAACCCACTTTGGGAGGTGGGAGGGTATTGTAAAAAAGGCCGTGGAGGCTGAAATGAGGCCTCAGGAGAAACGTAAATTTTTTGTAACCTTATTTACCTGATACCGTAATACTGGATACTGGAACCACCTCCTGAAGTCTTCTTGACAAAATAAGTAGTACAACCTAAAACATTTTTAAATTTAAGGAACCTGAGTATAGGGTTACAATATAAACAGAAATTTACAAATAAAAGCTACTGGAAAAGTGAGCGTGGAGTTTGATAACTTTAAGAGGTTTGTGGGGCTAGTCCCTTAATCGTAAAGGGAAGACTGTTACTTTAAGAGAATACGCCTGGGATGTATACATAATTAAATGTGACAAAGTCTGGTGAAAGATGCCATTTAGGATAAGGGAAAAAATGTAGGTAGTACTGTGAACATATATAAAATCATACATAGAGGAACATACTTAAATATAAAAATTTTAAAGTGCATAGACCTTATGCATTCGGCTGCCGAACGTGCGAGAGAAATATAATATGACCGAGTGAGTTTTAAATTAATGAAAATGAAATGCAGCCTTTCATATGTAATTCGTCTAACGAAAGTGAGAAACAGGTGAACGTAAGGTGAGTATAAGCGTTCGGTGGAATTTTGATAGCGTAAGAAAGAATGAAATTCGTCTGTACTCTGCGGTCGGCTAAAAATTGCCCGAACGCAGAAGTACATGAACGGCGGATTAACTGAACGTGTAAGTAGTATTAAGGGAGCCTATCCCCGCGTTTTTAGGCTTGAACGTGGTAAATAGCCGAACACTATTCCCCACGTTGAAGCGTATGTTTGCGTGCCGGTCTCGTGACCGGAAGCTCGGCAGCCGGGTAGCGAGTCGGGAAAGCCGCGGGGCAGCCAGTGGATGGGCCCGGAAGTCTGATGCTGCTGGAGGGAGACTGCTTGCTTGCGGCAGAATTTTGGCGGGAACAGCTGACAGAAAATGCAGGTAACTATGGTGACCGTCAAAACAGCTTGAACTGCAAAGGTAAGTAGGGGGGTAGGGTTTATATAGGGTCATAACTCCTCCCACAAATTCAGGCCAATTGGCCTTCCAACATATCAAAAAACA